TTTTTAGAAAAAGCTACCAAAAACAAATTTTTGATGAAAAGAAAACGTTGGCAAAAAAAAAAAATTTTTTGACGGATTTGCGATGAAAATTCCGTCGCAAATCCGTGGTACATGACAGATTTGCAACGAAAATTCCGTCGCAAATCTATAAAATTTCTGACGCAAAGTAGCGACGAAATATTCCGTCGCAAATCCGTCGCAAAGTTTGCGACGGAAATGCCGTCGCAAATCCGTCGCAAAGTTTGCGACGGAAATGCCGTCGCAAATCCGCCGCAAAGTTTGCGACAGAATTTCCGTTGCAAATCCGTCGCAGAGTTGGAATGCACTATCCCGATATTTGCAACGAAATATCATATTTTTGCGACGGAATTTTCCGTCGCTAATCAGTGACGGAATTTTCCGTGGCTAAATTTGCGACGGAATCTCATAATCCGTCGCAAATTAATTAGCGACAGAAGTTTTAGCGACGGAATTATTTCTGTCGCTAATTGGTTTGCGACGGAATTCCGTCGCTGATTTCCGTCACAAAACGTTTTAGCGACAGAATTTCCGTCGCTAAATTCCGTCGCTAATTGTCTGTTTTTTTGTAGTGATTGTTGAGGAAATATCAATAGGTTAATTTTTTAAAAAAATTTATACATACTGTAAAATAAATCTTATATAAATGACCGCCTCAATTAAGTGTTATGCTAAGGACCCAAGGAGTAGTAAAACATGAAAACACTCGGCCAAAAGTTTTTACATTTCCTTCTTTCTATTATTATATTACTCATTGGCAAGAGGCAACACAATAAAGCAGATCAAAACCCCGCATCTGACTCATCAACCCAAATCTTTCTACTCATATTCAGATAAGAAAGAATAAAGCAAACTGAAATACCACATCCAGTACTTAAGATAAGAGTGAGATAACAAATTTGAGGATTTTAAAAAAATTAGTTAAATTGATTATTTGTTACAAACGTGTGTTGATCTCTCTAAATTGTTCTTTTTAATCTTATGTACTAGATGGTTAGAATTATTCCTTGGTAGAAAACCCTTACAATCAACAGAGATATTTTGGAGAAATATGAGAGACAAGATGGTTTGAGATTTTATATTTAAAACTAAATCTAATCCTTAACTAACTCTTATATTAAGAATCGGGGTTACTAATAAATTTGATACAAAGGTCAAAAACACTAATCAAGAATCAAAACAAACATATAAGCTTGGAAGTAGCTAACCACCAAACAGCAGGAAAAGTCAAGAGCCAGCATTAATTAGCTGCTTAAAATTGATGAAGGAAGACAGAAGCAGAAAAAAAGACTGTTCATTCCATATATCAGTTACATGAACGCGTATGAATATAGAATGAAGAGTATAGTTTCATCGAGGCAAGATCTCTGTGATGGATATTTCATTTGAAACCACTGTCTTGGAGCTCTGAGTTGTTTGATCGGAACTACATTCTGTTGACATTGTTGGATTTAAATGAATTAAGAATGGTGGCTCTCTTGGAGATGGCAATTCAATGGAAAGATTACTAAGATATGAAACAACTTCAGCCATTGTTGGCCTCTCATCTGGATTCTTTTGAACACATAATAGCCCAATCTGAACGCATCTCATTGCTTCTATTTGACAAGAAGATTCCATCAGACAAGGGTCCAATATTTGTAATGGTGTTCCCTCCTTCCAATGCTTCCAAGGCTCAAATGATATATCAAATAATGATGGTGCTCGAATTTCTTTGCATTAATTAATATACATTTGCATTAGATTAGATATGAAAATAAAATCAACAGAAACAATAGGTGACATAGATTAATACTTACATCATCTAAAAGGAATGATTCATACGATTTGGCATGCTTCTTGCTGCTAAATAGTTCTAAAATTATAACTCCAAGGCTAAAAACATCAGATTTTTCTGAAAAGAGAAGAAAAAAATATTGCTGTTAGTACCATCAAAACATGAAGAGATCAATATTGTGGATCAAAAAGAAAATTAAAAAAAAATATTGGCATTACATATAATTTATGCAACCATTTTTGGGAGAGGCGTACGGAGAAAATAAGAAATTCAGAACTTACTATGTTTCAACAATTCTTTTTGTATTTCGTTGGTCAGCAACTATAGTAATCATTCTGACCATACCAAAATATGATATTTTTGGATTTATCTCGTCATCTAATAAGATATTACAAGGTTTGAGATCCCGATGAATAACTTTGAGCCGAGAATGTTCATGCATGTAACAAAGTCCTTGCGCAATGCCTCTTATGATTTTGAAATGCTCAAACCAATCGAGTAATCGTTGCTTTTGAGGATCTATATAATTAAGTCAAATAATGATAAAAATCAATGTCAGTAACAAATTAGCTAGTGGGAGAACATAATCCATAATAATAAGCATGTGCATATGTAGAACTTTAACTAAAATGTAGAAATAAGGTTAGAAGTTTCATACATACCAAATAAAAAGAAATCAATGCTCTTGTTTGGCACATATTCATGGATAAGTATCTTCTCTTGCTCTTCCAAACAAAATCCCAATAAGGTCACTAAATTTCTATGTTGAAGTTTGGCTATCAATAATATCTCATTCTTGAATTTTAATGTTCCTTGTCTAGAACTTTTAAAAAGTCTTTTTACAGCAACTTCTCGTCCATCAGGAAGAACACCCTGAGAAGCATATAAAATTGAATTAGTATAAATGAAAACCAATCATCAGTTAATTTAGCATTATTATTTTTAGGATATTTTACCTTATAAACTTCTCCAAATCCACCTTTTCCTATTTTGTTCTCTTCAAAAAACTTATTTGTTGCAACTTCAATCGTTGCCAAACTAAATTGCAAGGACTTCACGTATGAAGTTTCTTCACCAACTGGACCAATATGAACATGAGAATGCCAAAGTAAGCATGCCAGAAATAATTAAAGATTTTCTTAAGTTGAAAAGCAAATAAGTAATATAATTACAGTTTTCTCTAAGAATAGCCTGCTTTCTTTTCCTTGTAACTTTTCTCCTTAGTAGATAGTAGCCCACCAAACAAAAAATTGTCATTGAAACTACAATGGGGACGATAATGTTGACATCATTTTGTGATCTGCTAGCTCTTCCTCCTGACGATTACATCACAAAAGGTAAATTTATCACCTAAGGTGTTATTAAGAGCATATGATAGCTCATCGTGAAAAATAATGTAATGGAGAAAACAAATAGTATTATAAGATTTTGTCCTTTTTTATCAATTTTATCATTGTGCTCGTTAAGTTGCTTTTGGAAAAGAGAAACACTTAAGTAGTCTAACAAATTAAAAGAGCATATATAATTGCTCAATCTAAGGATTTTTCCACCATATCTTCTCACATGGCAATTGTTCAATCCATTGATCTAGAAGGTTCATTATCACTTAATATTATATCAATAAATAAAGGTATGCATTTCGCTATCCCTTCTCTTAATATTTTATTTATTTCTCTTAGTTATTCTCTCTCCCACTATCTCTCAAACACAGTAGATGAGCATACAAGCAACATGAGATGCAACTTTCAATCCTCAACCCACCTTTCAAATTGGCAAAACGCTATCTCTATACTCCCTCCTATCTTTTACCTTATCTTTTGTATAGGGAAAAATTATAGGGAGAAGAGAATATTAGGGGAGAAAGATTTTAAAGAAAGTTTTCTTACCTGGTATTCCCTTTCCACATTCTATTTTCCTTCCCACTTTTTCCTCTACCTAAACAGAGAAGTAGTGTACAAGCTCCAGTAATAAAAGCTACAGCCTCTGATACTGAGTATGAGATCCACTTTGTATTGCAAATGTAGCATTAATTACAGGAGTCAGTTGATTACTTGATTAATTAGTAAGAGAGTTTTATAATTAGTTAGATATATTGGGTGAAAAAAAAAACAATATTTTGAACAAAATATGTCAAATCATAAAACATGCATGAGATCTTAACAATAAGGAAAAGAAGGAGCACATCTTAAGAATTTTTTTTTTGTTTTTGAAAATTCCAAATCAATTTACAGAAGATTGTAATGATCTCAATTCCAAAATACCTCAGCACAATGGAATCATCAACATATATTTAATATTCAATCCAGTTATAACTATAGGCATACGAGAATACATTCAAATAGTATTGTAAACGAACTGATAGAAACAGATAAAAGATACAGAGGGGAGGGAAAGAGATGGAAGCCACAGAGAGAGGATTCCCAAGAGTGCTCTCAGAATATTCACATTTTCCATCTCCTCCTTTGGCTGGGCAAGCATATGCCATTTGGGCTTACTTCTTAGGTCATTTTCTGAGCCCACTTCTTTTGGAATCATGACAAAGATATAGGTGAATCAACTTACAGAAGATATAGGTGAATCATCAGCAATTGTTGTGATGTCACATGAGCTTAAGAAATTAATTATCTCCCAATTAGACCCAATGAAGATAAAATTTCAATCAATTGATAATACTGAATATTGAATTGTTTTCTTAAAAAAAGTTAGATATTTTAAAAGTCCATAAACTTTGAGATCCTTATAAAAGAATTGTCATATGACCACTTTGATCTTATCCAACCGCACATATTCGAGTAGTCAAACTTTTCAAAGCAATCAAACTCCATAATATAAGATTAAGTGCAGAGATACCTTTCGAGGAAGTAGTATTGCTAGATGGAGCAAGAACAGTAATGGTGGGCAATGATAATTGTAATGAATCAATAACTGTAGGATCGTAGAACAGAACATGATCAAATCTAATATTGCAGCTGAATTTGATCACTCTCCCACCAAACGTTTTCTCACAACATACTGATATATCCGAGATCGCCTTTAGCAAGCAGGCGTCACAATCTTGCTGAGACAAATCAGGCATGCGCTGAGAAAGACCATAAACTGTTCGAGACTTATCCAGTGTCGCATTTCCCCTAGCCACCTTACGATGAGAATCACCAGCCACAGCTATACTTTTCAAATTCAGCATCAGACGATGGAGCGAAACTTTTTACTTGTCTGGATCTTTATTTACCGTTTCTGGGTTGCTATTGAAAGCGTAGTAAAAGTCAGGATATTGGTATATCCCAGAAATTGAAGGATTTGAGGATCGAAAAATGCACAAGTCATAGTATCCAAATGCTTCCTTTTGATTGGGACACAGCTTTAGGAGAAGGATAGTGGCATTGTTGATGCAACTACGGCAAGTATCTGGCTTCACATCTCCTCTGCAGAGTCCAAATGCTTTAACTGTGTCAGGGTCTTCGCCATAAGAGTAAGTGTAGAAGCCAAAGTCAATTTTTGTGTCGGAAGTGAAATTAGAGAGAAGGATATTGAGCTTGGTGTGGTAGGAACTTGTGTTTGTGAAGTTACCACTTTGATTGAAGCACTTGTAATATACGAAAGGCTGGGCGGTGAGAATGAGAAGATGAGAGAGGAAAGAAACAAGAGCCAAAGAAATGATAGACATGATCATGAAGGAATTACAGAGACGAGCATTTCGGGCTAATTTTATGGACGGGTGGTAAGTTGTTGGTAATACCACATATAAGCTGTTTGGATCACAAATTTAAAAAAAAAGGCGAGACAATGCTACTTTCAAACAACAGATTCGATTTCCTACCGCGAATCTGAATGGGCATGAACATATATCTGAAGAGATACTTGTGAAGTTTAAACGAGTGATTCTCACATTTTACTTCTCTAAAGTAGTAGAGCATGACGAGCCCTACCGACATTTTACTTCTCTAAAGTAGTAGAGCATGATGAGCCCTACCGACCACTCTTCTCAATCTTTTCCTCGTCTCATCAAAGCATTGTGGGGTTCATCTTTTTTCTAAAGAGAAAGAAATGATATGATAGCCTGCAAAAAAAGAGAAATGATAGCTATTGTCTTGTTCTGATAATGAGCGGAGGGACCGGACTCAATTATGACCAATGGTACGTGCGAATATCGATTGATCTTATCCTTTTTGAAGTTTTCCCAGAAAACAAAAAACGTACTTTTGAAGTTTTGAATACAAGGTGAGGGTGAAGGGACAAATTTGTCTATTGTAATATTCAAAAAAAAAAAAATCAGGCATCATAATAAAATATTAGGTGCAAAAATATCCATGAACATTTCAAAACAGGGTAAAAATACTATCTCTGTTAAATGCTTCAAACGTCCGTTTTGTGGGTCCCACCAAATACACACGTGTCAGCATTTGGTCTCTCTTATCTTTCGTTTCTCTCTTCCCCTCATATCCTTCATCTCTCTCGTCTCCGTCGACTCTCTCCATCTCTCTCTCTCAGCTCTTACCCTTCCAGTCAACCCTCCCTCTCTCACGCTGATTAGTTGCTCCTCCTTTCCAAAATCATTGGCGACTTTAAATCCCCTCCATCATCTCCACCAAGGGCATTGTCATCCACTGGCATGAATGATTTGTCTTCATTCCAACAACTACAGCGGCGGCAGCCGAGACAAGGAGGTATTGTTGGCTCACCACCGATTACTTGTGGTGAGATTTGAAGAAGTTTAGGTCTGGTAGGAGCTTTTCCAAGCCATTGAGGCCTAAAGCTATCACACTACAAAAAAATGCTATTAGCTATGAAATTTAGCTATTGAATTTTTTATTTAGCAACAGAATTAGCGACGAATTAGCCATGGATTATCGACGGAAATGGATTAGCGACAGAATTTGTTCCGTCGCCAATTCTTTTTTGGCTAATTGGGTTAGCGACGAATTAGCAATGGAATTTTCCATCACTAATTACTGACGGAAATTTTCCGTTGCTAATTATTGATAGAAATTTCTGTCACAAATTAGCGACTAATCCGTCACTAACCCAATTTTTGGAAAAAACAATTAAAATGCCACATGGCATCTCTACTAGTTGCCACGTAATCACTGGCGACCACCTCCACATGTCCCTACCACGTCGATGATGATCACCACATGTCACTGCCACCTCACCTCTGCCTGTTATGTGTTACCACAACATAATTCCCTCATCAAAGTGACTTCTCCATGACTCAAACCCAAGATCTTATCTGTGCACGCGTGTAGCTTTAGTAGTTGAGCTGCAATGAACCTGTTGACTTATTATGTAAAATTAACTATGTATATAATATTCTTTTGCACAAACAATTACATATTAATATATATTATTAAAAACTAAAAATAAACTATATGATAATTTTAATTATAACTATTTTAATGAAAAATATTTTTTAAATATTTTTTTACTATTTACATATAATTTTTATTTTTAAAAAATATTTTTAATATAATTTTAATTTCTAATGACACTATTTTTGAATTTTAAATTATAAGTAATTTTTTTATAAATAATTTTTAAATTTTTTTTAATTAACATTGATAAGATATACAATTTAATTATATACGTATTATATTACATTATATTATATTATCTATATGTGTTTTATATATTTAACAAAAAACATTTACAATTAGTCAAAAAATCTTGTTATTCAAAAAATAACTACTATAATAAAATCTAATAAATTATTCTATATATAAAATTAAATGATTTGAATAGATTATGATAAACAATACTCTCCTACTTGTATATGTATCTTACGTAATTTATTGTTTTAAAATTTTTTGTATATACCATTTGTTTTTGTATTAAAGACCAAAATCAATCTTTATCATGGGTATTGATTATATCATGTTTACATTTTATTGTTTAATGATTGAATTTTAAAATTCACTTCAATATTAGTTTGTGTTCATATAAATTTATTTTTTAGTGACGAATTAGCAACGAAATTGTGACGAAATAGAATTAGTGATAGAAACTTTTGTGACAAACAATTTAGCAACAGAAATTTTTGACAGAAAAAATTCCGTTGCTAAATATTTATTGCTGATTTTTCGACAGAATTTAGCGACGAATAGAAATTTTATTACTAATCTGTCGCTAATATTAGTGACAGAATTTTTTCATCACTAATTTAGCGACGGAATTTCTTTCGGTAATCTGTCAAAAATTAGCAATGGAATAATATTCCATCGGTAATGACTTGTTTTTTTGTACTGTCATCGACTTGAACGCTGATTTTGAAGTTGATTTTAGGGAATTCAAGGATGATTTCAATATTGATGTGGACGCAGATGATGATTTAATGCTTGTTGTCAAACCCTTTGCTTCACCTGCACTAAGCCCTCTTAGAAGCTCTTGTCTCGTGGAAGGTAGTTTCTCAAGCCCTTTGCTTCATCTGCCACTATCTGTAAAAAATTTTGAAATTTGCTTCGGCTTTATATATCTAGCCTATGATTTTTGAAATTTGTTGTGGCAGGGGGAGTTGATGAAGGTTGTGGAGGAGGTGGAAATTTCTGGTTTGGCCGAATGGGTTTTGCTAATGAAAAGCAGAGGAAGACAATGCTGTTTATGGTGAAAGAAGGGAGCGTCGGCGTCAATAGTGGTGATAGAGGATACCGGCGCGGTTGTGGTGGAGGAAGAGATGAAATCAAAGGTTGATGGAGACAGATCTGTGAACGATGGGTCTCTAGTCTACATTTTTTCGTCTGAAGTCGGGTTTCTTGGTGATCTGTCAAAGAAGAAGAATATTTTAACAAATATTATTCTGCCACATCTGACTCCACATCACTAATTTTAGTCAAAATATTATTCTGAACAGTCAACGTTATCCATTTTAGGACCCTTTTTGAATCATCATGAGTATTTTTGCACCCAGTATTTTCTTATGGTGATTGATGCTCCTTTTGAATATTATAATGGGCAAATTTGCTCCTCCACTCTTGAATATAACTCCAATTAAACTTATTGATTCTGGAGCTGCAGAAAAATGTATGTCTAATTGAAGTTTCCAGTGCGTTACGTTGACAAGATTGAAGGCATTGCGAAAGACGTAGACAGCAAATAATGATTAGTGGGCGATATCTGTTTTAAGGATATGTTTACGAACACCCAAACAAGTTATTAGCTTCACGGGTTAACAATAATGGTTCAAAGATTCCATTAATCTTAACTTTTCCGGTCCCCGTCCAGAAATAAAAGATTCCACTTCAACTTTGTGTTTCTCTTACTTTCTCCTATGTATAATTAACAATAGTGAATATGCATATCTGACCCATGCTTTTGAAGTTTGTGGCGTAAAAAGGAAGCCAGAAAAAATCCTATACTTTTCTAGTTACAAAAAGTTTCCGGGTGTTGAATTTTTAACCCGACTTTTTTTCTTTTTCACTAGTGTATAGGTATTATATGTCTTATAAGAGATAATTGTATTTGAGATAAGCAGAAATTCGAAGCTTGATTTTTGATATTATGGTATGAACTAGCCCCTTCCATTAGTTCTATTTTTAGACTTCTTCAGAAAGGAATATTGAGACTGTGAAAAGTCAATAGAGGAAAGAAAGGCGTAAATATATAATCATGATTCATGCGGTTGTTGTGGATGGAACAAAGTTTAATAATGCAAGAGTGTGTCATGGGCAAAATGAATATGTATTATTCATGGGTTACGTTTGTGCTGGTATAAAGGTTTTAGGAAAATCTACCTGATCTTTGACTATTGAAGCTATAAATTCGTTGACCAAGGGGATGTGATCACAACCATGCATCCGTTTAGGGATATTGTAGATGAAGCAAGATCGACTGCTTATTCATGGAGAGTGGCAAGTCCTACTAAATTATATAATACGTAAGTACCTCCTTAATTAATACAGATTAATTAGCTAAGTACTCTAATAGACTAGTAGGAAATTACTGTATCTTTGATCAAGCACTATCCTTTAATTGAGTAGATAGAGGTTGAAAAAGAATACGTGATCCTTCCTAATTGTAAAGGAGCAATCCCCTTCCGAAAATAAAAGCATTCATCAATTAGGACCACTGCTAGATCGGAAATGATTCCCTACATCACTAGTTTTTGTGAATGTGGTGTTAATTGTGGACAACTACATTTGCTTCCCTTGACTTGGGCCTTGTGGTCTCTCGCCATTTATTCTGAGTACGATTTTTCTTTTTTTAACAAGTACCTTCACTTTTTTTTTTTTAAGTCAAAATGTAATTTTATTCAAAATATTGTTGAGTGCGGAACAATTTTTATATGTGAAAATTCCACCCAAAAGTTTAAGGAAAAATGATATAAAAAAAAGGCAATGAAAATTGGAAATCACAAAATCCCAAATTAGGAATTCTCATAAAAAATATATTGTTATTTGCAAGTCAAGTGTTGTTAAAGTATGGTAATGAATCCTGATTTGAAAGTTAGTAATTTTAAAGATCATTATCTATCATTTTTCCAAATTTTAAAATGCAATATACATACTCTATCCGATTCAAAACATAAGCATCAAATAACTAGTTTACGCAAGTTAAGAAGTTATAGATAAAATTTGCTACACATAATATACTCTCTTTTTTTTTTTAAAGACCCTTATTTATGGAGAGGATGGGTGAGCGATAGGGTGAGTGAAAACAGAGGTGAGAGATAATGAG